CCTCATGCTCATCTGCCTTGTGAGATCCCAGTTTTTCCCACCTTAAACCTGTCTCACCCCATGATTTTACTCCATAAACGTTCCTGGAAAAGACAGATTCCTTGGCAAACTACTTGGGACCCCTTCTGTCTTTCTCAGACAGAAGCTTTCTTTCTCTCAATATATTCTATTCTTAACCTCTGTTGTTCCTAAAATTCACTCTTCGATTTTAGAAAATATGAACTTATACTGGACATGGTAGGTTGGGAGTTTCCTTCCCCTATATCAATAGCATGACAATTATAACATTTTTGTAACAATCCAAATTTCCGTTTTGACATAAAATACCCCTTTTAGTAAATCACCCTTATCTAATACATACAAACTTTTATCTAATTTATTGAACTTTAGTGGAATGTGAATCTCTTAAGTTTTTGGTACGAACACAGGTCTAAATAGGAAATAAAATTTTGTTACCACAACTAATCCCTGTTTTACATTTTGGAAAACCTGTATATCTGGCAGCGTGAGTACATTAATATAGCATGAGGTTTATGACAATAATTTGTCACAGCCATATGAAACCTTTGTATCCAAGTATTTCTAAATAAAAAATCTTATTGTATTATTTCTTTTGATGATGACTAATGTGAACATATTACAATAATATATTTTGTAACTTTACTTGAGCTGTCTTCCATAAGCCTGTGGAGAACACTGGGGCCTCCAATCAATAAACCAGAACTAGTTTAAAATGTTATCAGGCAGCTGCTTTCTTATTTATCAATTGGAATCTGAAAGGATTTTACCCTAAATGGGACACTAGAGCGGTGGGAGGCTGGGAGGTGAAACCGGGGCTCTATCTTGAGTCCACCTTCCCTGCCCCTAGGCAATTTACCTGTGGCGATTCCAGTGGGCTACCTGTGCATCAGTAGTGCCCCTTAGGCACCACCCCAAACCCAAGCTATATGTATACCCCTCACAACACGTGCCTGGCAGAGAGAAAAGCCAGACTTCAGTGGTAGGGGGTTCTCTCTCCGTATTCTTAAAATAAAGGCCACTTTATTTCACATTTCTATCTTTTTAGCCATGCTGAAAATTCTATCAGAATCCTGTCCAAAAATCCCAACTTCAGGGGATTTTGTTTACTCATCTGAATAAAATATATTTTTAAAATTTATTTTTAAAATTAGGGGCTGGGAATTTAGCTCAGCAGCATAAGCACCTGCCTTGCAAGTAGGCAGTCATGAGTTCAATCCCTGGTACCAATAAAAAGTTAAAAAATGTTTTAAAAAAATTTATTTTTTGATGATTGATGAAAAACCTCATCATATCATTAACCCATTAACTTTTTAAGCAATGAGACTCTCAAGTCCATAATAGACAACAATATATATTGCATTTATATATCCAGTCTTTGTGTCATTTGGACCAGCTGATAACCTAGATTACATCTGGACCATGTTTGCATGTTTTGTAATTTTATAACCCAAATCAACTTTTGATCAAATGATCCATAAATGTAAAAGAAAAGGAAAAGAGAAAAAATTTTTGAGCTTAAAATAAAAGGAACAGCTGTTTACAGAGCGGACAAATGGACAAACATCAACAGATGATCTGTACAGATTCAAACAAACACAGAAACAAGCACGGTTTGTCCAGGTCTGTGAGATCTTTCTAAGTTCCCCAGGGGCTATTTATATACTTGGATCTTGCCCTCCTGCTGAACTAGCTCACTTCTTCCACCCTGTGTTCTCAGTGTTGGGACACCCGTTCACCCTCCGCACCTCAGGCTCACAGGCATTTCTCAAGCGCTCCATGCCATTTGGGGCACTCCTTGTAGGGGCACTTTTGTTTTCAGCTCCACATGTGTGATCAATCACTAACTCATTTGACTCACAACTGCTTACAAACAGACAACAGATATACAGACAGGCTAACAAACATTTTACAAATTGTAGTGCACTCAAATATATTTTTAGCCAAATTAAATTACAATAATTTTTTTACAAAGTTAAAATTTATAACTATAAATTGGCTAGTCAGATTTTCTATAGGTCAATTAGCAGAGATTTCATATAAAAGAATTTAGTAAAGACAAAATCTTATCCATAATTAATATATAGTTTTATTTTTCATCTTAAGAATACTAATAACTTGTGTGTCCCTTTCTTTCATTAAACTTTCATTTTGGTTATCTTTATATACTCATCACCTAGACTTATGGTTTTGTTTTTGGTTACTATCTCCTGGGCATACTGGGTCAATTGAAGTTGGTTTTATTTTCATCCTTTTCTGTCAGTTGAGGTGTGGTCTCTGAGGCATCACTGTGATAGGACTGAGTGTCTGCTTCTAGAGAGTGGTTCATACCCATGATACAGCTGGACAGCATGCTTGGGCATCCAGATAGGCCATTTAGCATTTCCTGGAAAAATCTAAGCAGACCCTCAAACCCACATTAGCACTGGACTGGGTACTTTTATTGTCCAGTTGAAGCTCTTTCCAATAGATTCTTTTTAGCTTTTGACTGCATTATCTTTCTGCTGCAGTAGCTACATTTTTACAAGAATTTAAAAAATTTTAAATAGCATATGCTGCAAAGTGAAATCTATCATATTCATTTTTCATTTTTTTTCATATTCATTTCATATTCATTTTTTTCATATTCATTTTGTTGTTGTTGTTGTTGTTGTACCGGGGATCGAACTCATGACTTCGCACTTGCCAGTCAGGTGCTTATGCTGCTGAGCTAAATCCTCTGCCCTCCCTTTTGTTTTTTGAAATTTAAATTGTGAGCACATTTAATTATTTTTAGACATAAGGATTACAAGGAATATTTGTGGTAAGGTATACAGAAAAAACCTGCAATTTCCATTTTCAGTGGCTCCTAACACTGAATGTATGTGTTTCTTAAATTGAAACCTCACCTCCAATGTGAGGATATTGGAAGTAAGGCCTTTGAGAAGTGATTAGGTCATAATGGGCCATACCATCATGAATGACATTAGTGTCCTTATAAAAGAGCTCTCAAAGAGATATCTTACCATTTCTGAATGTGAGACATAGCAAAAAGACAGCTTGCTATAAAACAGGGTAAGTCCTCACCAGACATCAAATTTGTGCATACTAGAATCTACAATTACGAGAAATAAATATTTGTTATTTCTAATTCTTTTTTTTTGTTACAGTGGCCAGAGTGGTCCTATTGTAATCATTATTTGTCCTGTCAGGGATGTTTTCATGAATCCTGAATGTGAAAAGATTTTAATGCTACGTATGACTAAATTGGTTCAGTGGAGAGTTTGTACTCAATCTAGAAAAGCACAGAATATTAAAAGAGAGGAGGCAACTAGATAAGAAAGAGTTTAATGGGAGGGATGGTAGAAGTCATCACAGAGAAGGTTGTGGAGGCTTTCTGCAAACAAAGGGCAGGTTCTGCCTGATACAGCCTCTGATGGGGGTAGGGTTTTATGTACTGATGTGAACTGTTTTGTTCTTGAGAGTGCAGGGGACTAGGTAAATCTTTACATACATGGGCTTTGGTACAGATTTTTGGGAGGGAAAAGCCATAGGGGCTTCTGGGAAGAAGGGATTATGCATTATCAGGGTACAGTTTTGAACTGTTGCCATGATGATTGTGCTCTCTCACACTGGGTTGGGGGGAGTCTAACAAAAATCAGTCAAGTATTACAAGGTTGGTAAATTAAAATTCAATTTTTATAACAAATGAGTACATTCTCTTAAGTACCAAATATGTAAATGTGTGCTTATTCCTCGAAAAACTTGTACTTACACACGTATTTTATGAAATCCGGAAAAAATATGTATATTTGGTATGTTAACTATTTCTGTGGTTTTATGGTATCTAATTTATACTTATGCCCTCCAGCCTTATCTTTCATGATTGTAAATCATCAAAGTGTTTTATAATCTTAAAAAAATAAGATAAATACTTTAAAATATTTGCTGGGCATGGTCGCACACATCTGTAATCCCCATATTTGGATTGAGGCAGGAGGATCCTTTGGAGTCCAAGACCAGCCTGGGTTACAAAGTGAACTCAAGGCCTGCCTGAATTGCATAGAAAGATGCTACTTCAAAAAGATGAATAAATAAATAAATAAAACTTTATAATGTTTTATTCTTCATGGAAGTTAGTTTTGTTTGTGAGGTACACTGATAAATCAAAGTCAAAAAAGATCCCCAAATAAGTAATTGCCCATTTAAAAATGCTTAGATGAATAAATAACATGAGGTCAGAGAAAAAATGCAAACTCACAATGTAAATAAGCAGGGCTAAATTACAAATCATATTCCAACATTCAACAGGTGTTTTATATATTTAAAAATATCTATCAAAGCAAAACACTGAATCTTCAAAACAGTTTTGCCCTTTTTGCCGGCTTCCATGGACTTCTTAGTCAGGCTCCCTTCAGGCGTTCCTCCAGTATAACCAGGCATATGTCTGGTGAAAGCCAACACTCTTTGGAAAACTGAGTTAAGGACTAGGAACTTCCAACCTTTTAGCGTGCATACCCCCCTGCTTCTTTTTGGCTGTTACGATTGAAGCCAGGACCTTCGCACTGAGCTACAAATTTAGTCCCTTTTATTTTTTATTTTGAAATGGGATCTCGGTAGGCCCCACAAATCGCCCCGGTTGGTTTCCAATTTCCAATCAACCCCCTGCCACAGCGTCCCAGTGCTAGGATTCCAGGCGAGCACCACCGCGCCCAGCTTGCTGTACTGACTTTAGTAGTTCGCTGGGTGCAAGGCGCGTGAAAAAAAACCATACATTGATACCAGCTCTGCTGGCAGCGAACACAATTAACCAGAGCGATCAAGAATTATACTGGTATTCAAAATTCCTCTACGGCGGGCGTTAGAGTCATCACCCCGAGCTTGAGCAACTCTCACACTGCCTTAGTCAGTAGTAGAGCAACACCCTTCTGGAGCCCTCCCTAAGCGGAAATCCGGGTTTGTTTATTAAATTACGACAGTCGTAAATTGAGATTTCCTGACGGCTTCCTAGCTTTACGGCAACAACTATGGCGGCTTCCAGTGGCCGATTTGAAAGTGCGAAGAGTATCGAAGAGCGTAAGGAACTGTGTCGAATTGCCAGGGCTGAGGTGTTGCGTCAGGTACGTCCCTTTTGGGGAAGGTGGCAGTTTAATTTAGAGTTGTGGGAATGGATGTTACAGGAGCAATCCTTTCCTCGCTTTCTCTAACCCTTGCAGCGTTTAACCTTAATTCCCACTTTCAGTGCTCGTATTCTTGTATATTTCCTGTGTCCTAAATGCTGTGGCAGGTTGCGTTTGCTCACTCACATTTCAGAGAGGTGTGTTTTATTTTTCCTTCAAGTTTCTTTGCCCTGGAAGGCATCCGTTATTGACATTTCTACCCCTCGGACCGTGTACTAAGTGCTTAGCCTCCTCAAACCACTCTGTCTGCCGGGGTATTTTTTATCTTCAGCCATCGCTTCTGCTGTATCTGAAGTGAAATCGATCTTTTTCAGGGACACAAGTAAAGGCACATTTTGGTGGACAGAATTTGACATTTCATTCGCTATTCTTACTGTTGGTTTCAATTCCAGACTGATTGTCAACCTTCAGTGATAGAGTGAACCCGTGAGACTTGGGAATTTGGCCCGTCACAAAGGATTGTAAAACACTGTATTTCTCATTAAAATTGAGGTTGAGAAGGAGAAGGTAGCTGCTGAATTATCTGAGAAGCTACTCAAGATGTAAACAATGTGGCAATGAAAGGGTAGTTGCTGAACAGCAACATATGGAATAGTAATGGCTTTTTTTTAAAAGATGATAGAGTTTGTCTATTTTGTTTTTTGAGACAGGGTCTTGCTATGCAGTTCAGGCTGGCCTTGAACCCTCTGCAGTCCTCCTGCCTCAGCCTCCTGAGTGCTGAGATTACAGGTGTGTGCCACCACACTTGGCTACAGTGAGAGTCGTTAGTCTAAACCGAGGTTCGGCTGAGACCACTGAGGCAGACAAAGCTGAAGGAACATATAAGGGCTTTATTGCAACTAGGTGCCGTTGGGCCAAGGGCGAAAAAGACTGTTGGCACCAAGCAAGGGCTGAGGGCATGTTTTTACAAGGGAGTTTGGGTAGGGGAGGGAGGTATTGCTGAGGGGGTGCAAAATTTTGGGTGGCTGAGTAGGGGTCTAAGGCTAGATGATAGATAGTGTTGGGTACATGGGATGCTGGCAGACACACAGCAAGTCTCTTGCAGTTTTTTGTGGAACCAGCTCTTTGCAGGTTGAGCTGTGTGGGGACAGCTGCAGGCTTCCTGTTGAATACCGTGCCCCCCTAAGTATGAATGACAGATCTGTTTGGGGGAGTTCTTTCTCTCCTAGTTGGCGGGAGTCCAGTTCAGAGACCTAACAAGAGTTTTAAGTGAGTTTGAATGCAGACATGAAAGAGTAGAGAAGAGATAGAGGAGGCAAGAAAGAGAAAAGATGACTACAACTGAATTTTAAAGGGGGAGAGTAGATGATTCATCTTGAACAGGTGAAAGATAGGCATTCTTCCCTGATTTCAGCATATGTATGATACATTTCAGTCTTGGTTATTTTGTATTTCTACATAGATATTAGGAATAGTAGAGTTTTTAAGATGCATTACATTTTATAGTACATTGTTTGAGAAGGAACAAAACTGGCTTTAGAGTTGAGAGAATGAATGAGAGGGCAAGAACAGCTTCCTGGGAAAAGCCACCTTTATGTGACTATTCTTGAAACATGAGTAGAAGTTGAGAATATGTTTATTTATTTTTTTTGGAGAGACGGTGTTGCTACACAGTTTAGGCTGGCCTTGAACTCATTTTGCAGCCCAGGCTGGCCTTGAATTTGCAGCAGTGATTCTTGAACTGCCTCAGTTTCTTGAGACCTGGGATTACAGGTGTGCACTATGTCGCCTGGCCTGTCATTTCTTTTCTTTTTGGAAAGTTGATCTTTCATGAAGCATTTTAGGGGGCTGGATGTTAGAGTATGAACACTGTGTAGTGAAGGCATGGAGATCAGTCTTCTAAACATCACAAAAGTTTAATTCAATAGCCACTGGGATTAGCTTGTAAAGGAATTCCAAGTCTTTTGGGGAAACGGAAGAGTCTAGAATAAGTACAAGGCTTTTGTCTCAGATTAATGGTTCCTTTTACTGAAGATTGGTATTTTAGGAGGAAAGATTTTGTTTTGTGTTCTTATTCACAGGAACAGACCATTAATAAGTGGGTACCTTTATTTTTTTGGTGAAAAGCAGTTGAGTCCATTGTCAATTTGTCTTTGTTGTTGTAGGCCAAAGCCAATTTTGAAAAAGAAGAAAGGCGGAAAGAACTTAAACGACTTCGAGGTGAAGATACATGGATGCTCCCTGATGTCAGTGAGCGAATTGAGGAGTTCTCGAAGGTGAGTATTAACAGATTTACTTGATAAAAGAATAACAAAAATTTTAATCATATATTTTGTCAGGAAATCTGAACCATATTTATTTAGTGGGTGCCTATATTGCAGAAAGCATGTTAAAGTTTCTTGGAAGTTGTCTTGGTTACTTTTCTCTCTTGTTGCTGGAACAAAATGCCCAATACCCAAAATTGAAGAGAGAGAGGTTTATTTAGCTCACAGTTTGTGGAGGTTTGAGCCAATAATCAGCTGGCTCCAAAGCAGGGGTGTGGCACAGGGGCAGCACTTCAGGCTGCAGAAGCAGCTAGAGCAAAAGGGAGGAGAACAAGCCTCCTTTCCCCTCATGTTGTATGCAGGCTCTCTGCCCACACCATCTAGGTGTTCTCTTGCTTAGGTTGAGGATGTTTACAAAGTAAGGACCTTGGCTCCTTGTTAAGTAGCTTAGTTAAACTTCTAAACTTCTCAAGTTGATAAAATGGATTAACCATTACAGAAGTTTTTATCTAGTTATATTTTTTATTTTCTTTCATGGAACACTTCAGTTGTTTTTAGAATATGAATATTTTCCTCTTAAAATATTTCCTTTTAAGGTAAAATAGAAACTAAATTTCTTTTCTGTTTGCTGATTATAGGAACATTCTGTAAAGAAAAAGAAGAAAAAAGATAAGCATTCAAAAAAAGAAAAGAAAGAGAAGAAAAAAAAGAGCAAGAAACAGAAATATGAAAAAAGTGAATCAGGTGATAGTTCATCAGTAAGTACTACAATTAACCAACATAGAGAAGCCGTGAATAGAGAAAATTTTACTTAAAAGAATAATTTATGATAACTTCAAATATATGAAAACTTAAAAAGTATGTTGCTAGCTAATGAAATTATTTGGGAGACATAGACTTGAAGATGTCCATGAAACATTGGAAATGCAAATTTTGAGTTCGGCTGAAGAGGGTGGGGATATGATTTGGGAATCATTATTGATTAGAGCCATTAAATGAATGAGAAGCCTAGGGATACTGAAAAGATGAATGTCAACACTGAAGTGCCAGAGGGGAAGAGAAATAAAGAAAGCTAAGTAAAAAATAGTTGGAAAATTAGCAAAAGCAGGAAAAGTTTTGTAGAAATGGAGTTTCAAGACATTTTTTTTTTTGTCTTTTTCGTTTTTATCAGTACCAGGGATTGAACTCATGACTGCCTGCTTGCAAGGCAGGCGCTTATGCCACTGAGCTAAATCTCCAGCCCAAGAAGTGGAGTTTCAAGACATTTAAGAATCTTGTTCTTGTTTGTTTTTTTTTCAGAGAAGTTAAATTTAAGTCTTTGACAAAGGATATGTTTATATACTTTGCATTAAAAGAAAGAGTACAGGATCAATTGTTGTCTTAGCTATTTCTAGGCTTCATGGAGGAAAAGACAACAAGCCAAAAGACAAAGGCCAAAACCTTTTATACTTGAGAAAAGATTATATTTAGAGAGTGATAAGCCAGAGATGTTTAGGAAATTGGTCTCTTACGTATGATCTTCATGGGATTATTCTCAGGTGAATTGCCGTAGTCCAAAGTTTGGGCCATGTATAGTTTCAAAAACTGTATTTTTGGCAGTGTACTATCAAAGGTAAACACAGGTAGACACTAGTTAAATTGGTGAAAACAGATTTGATTTAGCAATTACTCACAGTAGGGAAAACAGCTGCAATTCATTCCAATTTGTGCATAGATGATTTGAGATTTTTAAAGGAGAATGAGGGAAGAGGAGCAAGGGCCTAGTAGAGTTATAAAAGTGAAAAAATTATAAGGTGGTTCAATGTAATTTTGACCTTTTTATTGTGTTCTCCACTTTATTTAGGTCTATTTAGGTCATCTTTCATTTTTCCCACAATTTTTGAAACGTTCAGTGTAGAGATCTCACATAACTTTTAAAATTTTTTTCTGTTTTTATTAGAATGTTATTATAGGTGGAACTTTTTAAAAAGATTATCTCTGTAACTATTATCTAAATATGCAGTTACATTTTGAATATTACAATTTTGTCTTCACTTTGGTAAATTCACAAGTATTAGTGTTAGTAGGTTCTGAGGTAGATTTCTAGATATTTGACTGTGTGTGAATAAGGATAGCTTTACTTTCTTCTTTTTGATCTATATCTTATTTCATTGGTTAATTTTTTTGTTGCCCTTATCAACAGGACTTTGAAATCAATAGTTAAGACAAATGATTGGAGTAGATGGACATCATTGCTTTACACCCTGTCTTAGGGTTAAAGCATTTAGACTTTTTATCTTTAATCCTAATGTTTCCTGTTTTTTTTTTTTTTTCTTGTGGTACTGGGATTGAACCCTGAGCCTTACATGTGCTAAGCAAATGCTGTACAACTGAGCTATAGCCTCTGCTTGAGCTATGGTATTTTTACATAATGCCTTTTCAGATTGAGAAAATTATCCTCTATTTCTAGATTAAATTTTCAATGTACTTACTGATATCATATGATTTTTTTCCTTTATTCTGTTAATATGAAGAAGTGTATTGATTTGATTTCCAGGTGTCATACCAGCCTGTATTCCTGATGGAAACCACAGTTGATCATAAATATATGTGCAGTGCCTATAAATCTATATTGCTATATATCTATATAAGTAAAAACATAAACTGTATGTTATAAATACATAGTATAATACAGATTTATAATATATTCATTATAGAAGCTGATATATATAATATGTAATATATATATTATATATTATATAAAATGGTTAAATGTGAAATATATTTTCATATACCGTCATGACATCTTGAACTTTGAGTCAGGGATGAACCACTTGTAAATGGCAATTCCATAAGATCATGTTGCCTAGTGACATCATGAGCTTCTTAATTTATATAAATAAATCCTAAGATGTTCACACAGTGACAGAATTTGCCTAATGAACATCTCTTAAAACATCCCTGTTTTAAAGCAATGAATAACTATATGACTTATGTGACATATTGGTAAATTTGACTTTTTGTATCTGTGTTTAGTAGGATGCTGGGGTTGTAGTACAAAGATAATACTGACCACTTACCTGAATTAAAAAGTATTCTTCTTCTCTTTTGTCAGGGTTTATGCCTTACTACCTTAAATGTTTATTAAAGTTCAACAGTGAGATTACTTGGTCCTAGAGTTTTCTCTGTGCAGTGGTTTTTAACAACAAATTCTTTAATAGTGGTATTACATGTTTTCTACTAAATATTGAGTTACAATAATTTGGAATTTTAAAGAAATTACTTTGTCTAAATATTTATCCTTTTAATGCCTATGGAAATCATAGTGATACTCCCTTTTGTTCTTCAGTTGGATGATTTCCATTTTCTGTTTGGTGCCTTGGTCAGTCTAGCTTGAAGTTTATCAGTCTTGCCAATATTTCAAACATTATATTTCAGTTTTGTTGATTTTTAGATTTTCTATTTCATTGATTTCATTTATCTTTATTATTTCTTTTCCTAATCCTTATTTTATGTTTAATTTGCTTTTCTTTTCATAGCTATCTGAGAAGGTAACTAAGTCACTGGTTCTAAATTTTCCTTTTCTAATATTTAGTTTATAAACTTATCCTCTTAGTACTGTTATATCATTAACTGATGCATTTTGATGTGTTATATTTTTATTGTCATCTTATTTAAAAATCGGAAAATTTACTTGTTTTTTTTAGCTCATGGATTTTGTGTAAGTGAATTTTTGAATTTGCAGATATTTGTATATTTTACCAGCTATGAATTTTTGTTTAATTTGGGCCTGGCACATGCTCATAATCCTAATACTTTGGATGCTGATTTAAATCTGTTATTGTTAAAGATAGTACCTTGTATCATTTTACTTAAAAATGATGGGGTCCTATTTTATGACCTAGCTTCTGATTTCTTTTGGTGAAAACACCATGTGTATTTGAAATTAATATGTGTTCTGTTGTTTTTAGGTGTTGTGCTTATAAATATCAATTAGGAAAAATTGATTAATGTTTAGTCTCTTGTGTCCTAGCTTCTGTTTATCTGTTCTTTCAGTTTCTGAAAGAGCACTATTGAAAGCTCTAACTTGACTGTCGATTTATCTGTTTCTGCTTTCAGTTTTGTTAGTTTTGCCTTTTGTATTTTAAAGCATTATTAGGTATGTATGTGTACATTTTGTATTAATGAATTGACCGATATTATGAAATGTTCTTTATTTTGGTGTATGATACTCTATCTGTATTGTTCTTTTTTATTATTTGCTTTTTCATTGCACATCTCTTTATTCTTTAGTTGTACTATCTGTATTTCTTTTATATTGAAAGTATATTTCTTGTAGACAGTATATATTTGGAACTTTTTAATCCAGCCTATCAGTTTCTTCCCCTTTAATTAGAGGGCTTTTTGTAGTATCAAATATGGGAGCTCTGCATGACTTTTAAAATTTTTAATTCGTTAAAATTCCTTAAGATTATATGTAAAAGAAAGAATTAATTGAGTTGAGACTGTAATAAATGATAGGACCTTGTAAACCAAAGCCTTTGACTTTATTTAGTAGGGAAGGTATCAGCTAGCTTACTGCATTTATTAGAAACTCTCATAGTAGTCATTGGTTAAACAACATAGTTTTATTTTTTGCTGTGGTTTGTGTCAAGATGTTTCTCCAAAGCCTCATGTAGTCACAGGTAGGGATTTTTCAGAGGTGGTTGAATCTAAAGTGTGTGATACTGGGATTAAGGATGTGTCATTATTAAATCAGTCCACTGATTGGTTTGACATAGTTGTTGCTGGGATTAAGAACGTAAGTGCCACACCCACCCTAGGACCATAGCCTGCGTACAATATAAGGGACAGAGTCTTTTCTCCTCTCTTTTTCTGCTTTTGCTATCTTGTGGGCATCATGAAGTGTTCTCTGCAAAGCCACTCTGCTTGCAGCCAGTTGTTAATAGACTGAAACCTCTAAAAACTGAGCTAAATAAATTTATCCCCCTTTAATTTTGGGTGTTGAGTATTTTGTTTCAGCAGTGAGAAAAGTAACTAAGACATTTTTTTCTCATATATAAGAAATCAGGGAGGCAGACTGGAATTACTGTGGTTGGGGATTAAGGCTTCTGTCATCTTGCTCTTTCATCAGATCAGAAAGGGAGATATTCTTTTATTTTTTGATCCTCAGAAAATCTCACAGAATACTTTCATTTATATCTCACTGGACATTTTATCATGTTTTACTTGCTCTTATGGAAAGTTTTTCCAAAAATAATGGGTTCTATTTTCCAAAAATAATTTTCCAAAATTTCCAAAAAATATTTTCCAAAAATATTGGATTCTATTGGTAGGAAAGAAGAGGACTAATAGTCTATATGACAGGGAGCCATAGGAAAAAGTACTATGGTTCAGATGTCCTTTATATTACTTTAAATGTATTATCGGTAGGTATTTGGAGAAGGAAGGGAAGTAGAAAAGACTGGTGTTCAAGAGATTTGGCTGTTCAGTTGTGTAGGTAAGAGATAAAGTAGTCTTGATCTCCTTCAAGACTACTGCTCGTAGGATGGAAAGGAAAGGGATGTGTATTAGTTGCCACTCTTTGTTTTAGATTACAAAGATCAAACTTAAACTGGGTTATGCAAGCTGAAAGTGGTGCTACTTGTCTATAATGTCACACTTGAGGAGGGGAGGTTGAAGGATTGTAAGTTTGAGGTTGGCTTGGGCTATATTTTGAGTTCATTTGTTTGTTTTTTTCATTTATAAAAAGACACAGAAAAGAAAAACAAAAAGCAATACAAACAAACAAGAAACCAAATACAGGAACAGCATAGATTTACAAAGCAAGATGACAGGAATTTAAAAATGGTTGTAATATTGCATATTGTAACCTTCAAAAGAGTTGCTTAGATTAACAAATACACACATGTAAAATTGATATAAACATATGAGCATTAACTGTTCTTTTCCAGTAACTAATACAATTAGTAGTATAGTCATTTTAGCTATCATAAATATGTACACACACAAAAATTTATAACTTTTTTTCTTTTATCTTCCTTCTTTCCTCCTTTCCCTTTTTCTAATTACTTTTCCCTCTTTGAACAGTTTCTTAGCCTTAGGCAGTATCCGTTGTAGATTTTGGAACATATATAATTTTTCAATTTCTTATACTAGGGAGATGATATGGAATTTATACATGTGAGTTTGATTTATTTCATTTATGTTGTGTCCATTTACTTATAAAAGTCTTGATGCAATCTTTCTGTATAGCTGATTGTACCTCATTGTATAAAAATACTACATTTTTTTTTATTCATTCCTTGATTGTTGGGCACGTGGGCTATTTCCAAGACTTGGCTATTACAAATTGTGCTGCTATAAACATGGGTACACATATATCACTGTGATATGTTTTCAATTCTTCTGGGAAAATGCCCAGAAGTTCAAGTTTTATATAGACTACATAATGAGGCCTTGTTTCAAAACAGGTCATGCGAAACAAGTGGATTTATTGGAATATAAAATTTTGTGAGACATCTAGATATAGGAATCAACTGGAGGTGAGGAGTAGCTGGAATTACAATCATGAATGCTTTTAGTAGTCTTCTTGCTGTTTTCCATTTTTTTCTCCTCTTAGTCTGTTTTTCATTCTTGATACAACCAGTTTTTGCTGAATTACATTCTTCATGACTGAAGTAGTCTCTGCCAGTGCTTTTCCACTTCTCCTTCATTTTAGATCAGTCTTTGGGTTAATCAAACACAATCAAATTCTTGCAGAATGATTTGAATTTGATAGAAATTCAGTCAGTACATGACCTTTGAACTAGTTGACTGTGGCTAGGGTTGGAAGAAGGTTCTCGTGACAATCATAATGGTATTTGCTGTATCGTTTGATAAATATTTCAGCATTGATATAATAGTTTTGGATTAGTGGGGTAGGATGATCCTGAGATTACTAACTTGGGTGAGTAGATGATTGTTGGTGCAGTAATAGAGTGGAAAGAACGAACAGGTATTAAAGAAGAAGGTGATGGATATATTTTATATTCTTGAGTCCATCATGATATCCAGGTATAGTAGATAGTTGATTAAGTTCTTGGAAATTTGGTTAGACAAATTTGAAAGTCATAAGGAAAATTGGTAATAGATTAAGCTATGAGAATGGATTTTGTGACCTAAGTGGAATGGTTATTTTCTCTAACCATTTTTTATTCTCAAAATGTTGTGACCAAAGCACATAATCCTAAGCAATGTGGATATTTACGAACTGAGCAAAAGGGGAATAATATGAGGAAAATGGAGACAAAACAAAGACTGGGAGAAGAACTGGGAAATGTCCTGAAAATCAAGCAAGTGAGCTATCAGCAAAGTTGTATGCAGTAGAGAGGTTTAGAGAAATAGATTGAACTGTTTTGTTTGTTTTGGCAATGTGGAAGTCACTGATGAATTAGGAAGAAGTTTCACTAGATTGATGGGGATTTAGGTGTTTTGCAGAATTTGGAGAAAAGTTTGAAAGCGTATGAAGGCATCTGGTGGAAACTGGTCTTTGAGTGTCACCTTAGAGTGGAAGTTGGAATGTAAGTTGCTCCTAGAGGGATACACAGGGTCATAGAAAGTCCCCCTTCTCTCCTTCAAAGCAAAAGGTGAGAAATTCTTCAACATATTTCTAGCACCATTGGGAGCCTTTTATTGAAGTTTAAGAGAAGATAATACAATTGATGGAGCAAGTCTTGGAAGAACAGTAATGATTGGAATAAAAATCTGTGGGGAGGATCTGCTTTGAAGAGTCAACAGGAGATTAATCAAGAAGTTACAAATAATTTTGTTGGAGGATATGTAGGAAGCAAAAGTGGACTGAGTTTTCTTGATGAGGCTAGAGGAGAGATCCTTTTCTGAGTGTATGGGAAGTGTGAGTGGGTAGAAAGCTTGAGGAGAGTGTGAAGGTGATGAGGGTATTTGTGCAGGTATCGAGCTAGGTACTGTATTTGTGATACAAAGCAGACCAAAGCAGAATTAGCTCCTGTCTTCAGAAGACTTACTACTAAGTGAAGTTAAGTGTTGCATTAACCAGATGCAACACAAATAAATGTAAAATGTGTAAATGCTTTAAAAAAGAGGAAGGGAGAACCAACCAAGAATCAGTATAAGGCAAGTCTAGTCTGGGTTACACTGAAGTTGTATTTCAACTAAAGTTGTGGATTGGATTTATCTAGAGTTTGACATTTGCTGGTAAAACAACTGGTGGCTTTAGTTAGTGAATTTAAGTGGGTGGTCCATATATGATATGATAGAGAAAATTTCTAATTATTAAATAAAGCCTATAACAGAATCTTGTGAAACACCAAATTTTAATCATTTTTGTTTAACGGACACTCTCCTAGAGAGAATGATTGTTTTTTTGAGGGTATAACTACCATTTTTTTTTTTTTTTTTTTTTTTTTTGAGATGGGGTTTCGCTATGGTTCAGGCTGGACTTGAGCTCGCTTTGTAGTCCAGGCTGGTCTTGAACTCGCAACCATCCTCCCTCCTCAGGCTCTGGAGTGCGGGGATTTCAGGCGTGAGTCACCACACCCAGCTGTAATTACTCTTTTATTAAAGGACATCCAGAATTAGGAATCAGTTTGGGCATGGTGATACACAGCTATAATCCTAGGTACTCTTTAGGTTCTGGCAGAAGAACTTCAAGTTTAAAGCCAACCTGGGCAACTTATTGAGATGTATCTCAATAAAAAACAATGGGCCTAGGATATAGCTCTCCTAGAACACTCTTGAGATTCAATCCCTGATAGGATCCCCCCATTAGGAACCAGGTTTCTCGAAGTTGATTTGATGATATAAATACAGTTTGAATAAAAATACATTTATAGTGATATCTTAAAGTTTTAAAGTGTATATATATATAATATTAGTTTCTGTAAATTCAAATCTGTGCCTAAATGAATGAATAAAATCTGCTTTGCTTTGAGAAGCAAGTGACAGCTGAGGTGGCAGAGCTTAAATGTATTTACTCCATGTGGTCTACACTTTTTGTTAGAAATATTTCTGTTCTTTAGTTAAAGAAAGCTTTTGTAATTTTTTTTTTTTGGTACCGGGAATCAAAGTCATGACTTCAGCTTGCTAGGCAAACGCTTGTGCCGCTGAGCTAAACCCCTGGTCCTAGCTTTTGTAACTTTTAAGAAGTTTGTCAAACAGTGGTATCATTTAAAAAAATTGCTTTGCCATTGACTCATAATTTTCTCTCTGCCTCAAATTTTCTTTCTTTCTTTTTTTTTTTTTTTTTGTCTCTTTCGTTTTTATTGGTACCAGGGATCGAACTCACGATTGTCTGCTTGCAAGGCAGGTGCTTATGCCGCTGAGCTAAATCCCCAGCCCCAGCCTCAAATTTTCTTAGCTGTATATTTTGTTTGGTTTTGTTTTTGGTACCCAGGCTCAATCTCACAACCTTGCACTTACACACATGCGCTTGTGCCACTGAGCTGTATCCCTCGCTTTAGCTGTATATTAATAGGTGGTTTGCACAAGGTAGTTTCTAGAATCTTTCCTACACTTAAGTTCTGTAGCTAGCTCCAAAGAATAGATTTTAGGTCCAAAAGATTTAGATTCTTATCTTTGTCTTTACACTTGAATATCATGTAACATTGGGCAACTTACTTAATTTTGAGCAGCTTTCTTTATCTGTGAAATCAAACCAATACTTATAGTCATTGAAGGACTTGGTGTGATAATGTATTTAAAAGAACTTAAAACATTGCTTAATATAAAGGGGCCGACCTGTACATTTGTTGTAAATAATACCCAAAACCTGGATTAGTGATAAATCCATAAGGGATGTTGACTAAATACTTAATTGATTCAATAATCTCATGTTTAAACATAGCAAAATGCCTCACCTGCCTAGATATGTTTTGAGACTTCTGCATTTTTAGATGTAGGAAATCTCAAAATTTGAAACTTAGAGGCAAAAGGCAAACTCATTTACTACATTTGATTGTCACTTCCTTTATTTTAGGATAACAAAAGTGTGAGTTCTTGTTGTTAGTAGAAACCATAACTCTGGGCTGAAGTGAATTATTTACCAGCAAGTCTAATTTTTGTTATTTTATTTTCTAGTGAACTTGTAATATGACTAGTAAGAAAATAGAAATAATTTGATTGTGTTTTGTGAACTTAACTCAAAATAATGAATTTATGTGTTCTTCCAGTTTTTACTGTATTTTAAAAGAGGAAATACATTGAAAAAATTTTATCTAGGAAGCTGAATTCTCACCACTTAACAGCATAAGAATTTTACATGAAAAGTATGCAAATTAAGTAATTCCAGTTATATGCCTAATATTCTTAGAGCTCTGAGGATGAGTGGGTTGAGGCTGTTCCATCTCAGACTCCTGGCAAGGAAAAGGCCTGGAAAGTGAAAGACGAACAGTTAGAAAAACAAGATGACAGCCAGGTTATTCAGGTAAGCAAGCCACCTGACTTTAAAGAAAGAAGTTCAACTTTTAAGAATAACTGAATGGTAAAATAAAAGATGATTATTATTTCTTCTGGAGAAAAATTAGACTTTGAAAACAGTATACTTTATATTTTCTGAACCTTTAGGCGTTCCTTTTTCTCCTATTATGAGAAAGAGAGTGCTTATCTCTATTTTAGTCTGTTAGGGGTTTTTCTGATTGTACTTACTGATGGAGAAGTGGCATTTCCCTCCTAATGTGCCTGCAGCCTTATAATATTATCTCTGATTAAATCCTATGGTTGGGAGAGTTCAGTTGCAGTTTTATTTCTCTTCACCTTATGTCATGATTTTCTTAACCATACTTACAGTTAAGTAGTTGTAGTTCATATTGCTAAAAAGAATGTAACTTATATACTCTTAGCAATAGATAAAGGAAGAAAAGTCAACAGGACCTAATGTTTCATTTTTTGTTGTATTCCAGGTACTATGCTTATATCTGTTATTTTGTTTAACTCTTTGAACAACCCTGAAAGATACACATTTTATCCAGTCTAATAAAAGAGAGACTAAGACATGCAGAGATTTGGAAACTTGCTTAACGTTGTATAGCTGTGCAGGATTTTATATAGTTTGGATGCTCCTAAAATTCCTGCTTTTAATAGTTTTAATTGGTTCCCTTTGAAATGACTTCCTTTTTTTTAAACAGAGAGATGAATGGATGACTGTTGATTTTAATTCTGTTAAAACTGTGTCGTCGTCATCACTTAAAACTGAAAAGGAAATGACAAGGAAAATAGAGCGAGAGAAAAGCCAAGCACTTGAACAGGTAAGAAAACATTTAAAATGCTTTAACTTTCTAATTTGCCTCTAATAAACTGATAACACATTGATATAAATGCAGATTTACTTGTAAAATTTTTCTTTTGTAATAGTTAAAATATTGAGAAAAGCTATAGAATATTATATACATTCTTTTAAAATAAGTTTCCTATACAAAATCAGTTTGAGCATATGTTGCTTTTATAAATGTGGGACAGTGATGGTGAAGTTTAGAGAGCCTTCAGTGATACACACATCCTGCTGTGACTTGTGTGCCATAGGTTCACCACCACCCATCTAGGGCATGTACAGTTGAATGACAAACTGAGTTTTGGTTATAATCATTGCATTAAAAATGAATTCTTTGAACTTTGTTCAAAGTGTACATACTGAATTAGATACTATAAAATGTTTTCATTTTAAGACATCTAAAATTTCTACATTACTTGTTTTTATATTGCTGGTAGAAAAATATCAGAAAATCTTTTTTTTTTGGATAGTGGGGATTGAACTTATAACCTGCTTGCCAAGCAGGTGTTTGTGCCGCTGAGCTAAATTCCTGGCCCTGGAAAATCTTTAGAAGCCAAAAAATAAGGCAAAAGCACCTAGAAGGCTGAAATAGAGCATTGTCTTATGTTCAGGCCAGCGTGGGTTGTATAGCAAGAACCTGTCACAGAAAACAAAGCAAAATGAATGAATGAACAAACAAAAGAAAGAAAGAAGAAAAAAGGGCAAAAGTATGAATATAGACTGTAAAGAAGTACTGAGCTGATGGTTTATATCATACAATCCCAGTAATCAGGAATTTCAGTTTTAATGAATGCTCTGAGATAGTAGATAAACCAAGCATGGGATTCCTGCATGAGATAGGCAAGTCTGATTGATAAACTTCTATTAATTCTAGGACTCCACAGTGTTACATTCTTGATTAAAAGATGAATCTGGAAATAACGTTACTGAAGAGATTTTGCCTGTGTGCTTTGTTTTCTTCCTATTGCTGGGAATTAAGCATAGGGTCTTATACATGCAAAGTAAATACTTTACCACTGACCTGCTTGTTTCATCAAATGTCTTACATGGTACAGAGAGTAAAGTCTCCTGATGGAAGATACATGTAACCACAGCCTGCCACTATAGTGGTTTATAACTTGATTTGTAGGGGTTTGTGGCTTGAATTCATGCTGCATATGTGGTCTGAAAATCTATAAGGGGAGAATTTATTTTAAAGTATTTTTGAGTTGGCAATTCCTTGAACTACTTGGGACACATAGCTATAAGTCCTTTCTAAAAGATTATACGGTCAGTCTAGGCTTCAAAGGTGCCCTGAAAAAAAGTTCTATGGACATAAACTGACAATCTGAAACATCACAAAATATGTGAAAATGCACCCACGTCTGTCTCATGGCCAAAAAAATGAGCCATCTAACACAATCAGTAGTAGAATCAGCTCCACAAAACCTTGATGTGTTGGAATATTTAATAGCTTTATAAAACATGAATAAGGAATTAACTGGTATAAAAATATGAAGAAGGAATAAATAATTATTTAGAAGAGAGACTTTAAGCCAGTTGTGATGGTATATGCCTGTAATCCCAGCTACTTGGGTGACTAAGACAAGAGGATTAAAAGTTCTTGGAAAATTTAGTGGAGACCTATTTGAAAAAAAAAAAAAAGCTATCCTTATGGAACATTGGAAGCCAGAGTTTTGTGAAGTCTTGACTGAATTATTTAAAATATTTTTGTCCCTGAGTTAGATTTTGAGTTGGACTTCATTGTGTTAACAGAGGGAAGGGAAGGTGCATGCAGATGGAGGTGATAACCCTTCAACAGTGGAGCAAGCAAGATCAGCCAGATGACATGCAGTCTGGAACTGATGTCACTCACTACATCTCACAGTTATGACAGGTTAAGTTTTTCAGAGTGAGTGTAAGTCTACTGACAAGTTTTTTTTCAATGATTCAAGTTAGTAAAAATGTGTCTTTGCCATTTCTGATCTTTTTTTCTGGCAAAGAGAGCAGCACTGGTAATATTTCATGCCGCCTCCTTTTCTCAGTCTGTCCTTCAGGACGTGGAGTAAATTTTCTACTGGGAAATTTAGATAGAATAAACTGGTCATGCTTTCTCTTTTGTTTGTTTTGAGACAAGGTCACACACTGTGTAGTGCAGGTTGGCCTTGGACTTGTGATCCTCCTGCCTCAGTCTTCCAGATGCTGATATTATAAATATGCCCCACTAGGCCTAGTTGGTCTTACTTTCTCAACTGACTTTTCGGCTTGTGGAGCAAGCTACTGGCAGAGACCAGATAGGGTTTGGCTCTGTACTTTAGCTGGAAAAGTTTTCTTCATTGTGGGATTCATTTAGTAGACTCATTTGGCTTTCATTGAATAATTTTCTGTCAACTGAGTGTTTGTTACTAAGCAGTTTTGTATTTTATTGTCTATACTTTTATTTCTTAACTTGTTCAGAACCTAGATGGGTGATGGTGAACCTATGGTAGGCATGCTATAGTGGGCTGTTTGGGTCACTGAAAGTTCTAGAAGATTTACCATCATTGACTTAGACTCAAAAGAAATGTACTCTTGGTACCGATAAAAAAAAAATAAATAAAATAAATGTACTCACTGTTTCTCAGAGACCCCTGAAGCTGTCTGCAAATATGCTAACTCATTCGATTGATGTTCAAGGCAAATTTCTTTCACAGTTAATTTGAATATTAGCCAAACTAATTTAATCAGTTTCATGTGTCCTGCCCTGCAAATCCCTGCCTCAGAATTTTTTTTGATATGGTTCTTTTTCAGTGCATTCTCTTTATCTCTGTTTTTATCTTTTGTCTGCATCTTGTTTATCCTTCAAGGCCTGTTCCATACATATTATTAAACTCGTGTTATTTTTCTTGACTGAAATAAATTTTCTCATCATGGTTTCATAGCACTTTATTTGTCCCTACATGTTATTTGCAGTTACTAGTTCAACAGTTGGCCTTTGAAAATGTAGATAAATGGTATAAAAAGGCTTTAAGGGCCCATAAAAAATGGGCCACACTGGCTGAGATTTAGTAGTCTTATTCTGTTTTCATTATCGAGTCCTGACTTAAATCCCCAATATCCCGAACAAGTGTACAGCGAAGGCTTAAATAAAATGAGACAAGTGGTATGATTTTAGGGCTCCAGGAGGATCAAAACCCTTTAGTTGAGTTCTAGACTGTGAGGATTAAGACAAAGACTTATCCACTTTGTATGCTTTGATACTGTGATTTGAGCAACTATCTCTAAGATGATAATATGTAATCTATTAACTGGTGATTTCTTACTGTTTTTTTTTTTTTTTTTTTTTTTTGTAGTTCTGTATTACTTGTACCCTTACACTGCTTTGTTTTGTTTTGTTTTTTCTCTTTTTCCTTTTAAATAAAATTACAAAAAAAAAAGACAAAGACTCATGTGGGCCAACCATATTTATTAGGTCCAAAACAAAGGGCAGGGAAACTGAGGAAAGGAGCAGGACCTTGGAAGTCACTTCTAAGACTTCTCAAAGTAGTAAAATTATGCCAATTTAGGAGAACCTTCTTATCTCCATGATGAAATTTATGGAATGAGTGAGACTGCAGGAATGCGATTCCTTCAGCTGCAGTCTCTATTTACTTAATTAGTGTTTGATCCAGGTGTCTTCAACTGTGGCCTTATCTTGTCCTTTGGGATATCTCTGGCCTCACAGGTCACTACAGGCCTCAGCCAGGATCAGTGATTCATAGAGGTTCACCACTATGAACCAGCTAGCACTTACTGTGAATCAGACAAGGAGGCCGAGGCCTAGGACAGACTCACAGATAAACGTAGAAAGCCAATTAGTTAATTTTAAATCCTGCTCAGAGCCACTTCATAGTGGTCTCTAAAAGTTTTCCTTATAAGATTATAATTTTTTAAATTTATTTTTTTGGTACTGGGGATCAAACTTAAGACCTTATGCTTGCCCAGACAGGCACTTGTGCAGTTGAGCTAAATCTCTGGCCCCAGATTGTAAACATTTTGAGAAAGAACATTTTGTTTGTATTTTTATAAATTTGTATTTTCTTTGCAGGTGGTATAGAAATGTGCACATAGTAGGAATTTCCTTTTTAAAAAGTAATATGAAATTATAGATATAGTCTTCTGTTCATGAATTATATTATCTTGCTGTCCTGAAAATCCTTCAATTTAGTTCTGAAGTTTGTAATCTGTGGTAGTGTGAGATTTTTGCTTAGGCAAGAATTCAGATTGTTGCATGCAGAAGTAAGTCTTCTAGGCCAGTGGAGGAGAGTATCTAGTTTTCACACGTGCACATGTTTCTTTCTTTACATAGTGTGCTATTCTAAAGAAATCATACTTATTTTTTTCTTGAGGGAAAAAAAAAATGTCCCTTCCCTTAAAGTCAAATGGTAATTATTATAATGGCAGTGAACATAATGGGAAAAAGTTTAAAATTATGGTTGTTGTGTGAGGCATGTTAATTTTTTGTCTTTTTCAGATATTGGGATATGATTTCTTTGGTGTCCTGGGTTAATGGTTTTAAAAATTTGGATCATGGAATTTATTTATGGAGTCATCATTTAAGAATATAAAATAGCATATATTACGAGTAATAAAGATGTGTTTTTATTTCTTGAAACATACACAGATACAGATGTGCGTGTGCATGTGTGAATGCACACATGCACATATACCCAAAATCACTGTATGCCAGGATCATGGAAAAGTTTGAAAGCCTGTGCTAGAGGCTGTGTCTTTGTCCTCTTCTGTCTTTATGTCTCTATATACTGCCAGCCATGGATCTGTAGCATTTATCTGTAGACCCAGCTTTACCTTGTACTAATTCTTTAGCCTTGTACAAGCAGGAGACCTCTCCACCCATGTCTTTGCTTCATGTGTTAAGACTGGATCTTGCTTGGTCTTATTTGAAGCACTCTTAGTGTTTATTACCTTACCCAAGTTGAACTCAACACTGTAACATTCAGCTTGCCCTTACAACGCACTGAGCCTGGGGCTTCAGTCTAGGATACTGCTTTGCATTTCTGTTGTTTCATAGCCACAGAGGTATTGTGTTGAGCACCAGTAAATTTTATGCTATGTGTATTTTTTCCGTTTTGTTTGTTTGTGTTTGTTTTTTTGAACAAGGAGATTGTGATGAAGTTAAACCTTAGCAAGTCATTTTGATTGAAAGATATGGACATGTTTTAGAGATCAGTTATGTTGACATTTTTATTTCATTTTAAAAAAGTTGCTGTGTAGTCTTTCATTATCTATGCCGTATTGTAAGTACCCATTCATCCTCATGTGGGTACCCATTTGTTTACTGATTTCACTATTATAGTCAGTACTACAACAAACAACTTTTCATGTATTTTCTTATACATATACGTGCAAATTTCTCCATAGTGCTACAATTGGCTTATTAATAGAGTATATAAATGTATCTTCTTTTACAAATACATGCCAAGATTATAACAATTTATATAGCCTTAGCAATGTATTTCATTTCCATGGCTTAGTATGTGTTATAATTGTCAAACTTTTTTACCAGACTAATTTATAGGAAGTAATCATATCTCAGTTTTTAAATATCTGTTATTCTGACTACTACAAAAGGAATCTTTTCATATTTTTGTTCATTCAAGTTTTTTAGTGGAGACTACTTGTTTATGTTCTTTTCCTTTTTACAAGGGTCATTTATCCTTTACTTATGTGTAGAAATTCTTTATATATTTAGTTCTTTGTTTTTTCTATATTTTTAGACAGTATCCTACAATTTGTCAAATCACTTGGCAGATATTCTATTCTGTGTAATTCTAGCCTTTTAAAATCTAGTTGAATATTGATTGTATATTTTTTGAATGTCTAGATAAGAGCCTAGAAGAAGTTTCCTGGTTATAGGTACAGAGAAATTTTGTAGTAAATTAGCAAGAGAGGTGATGGAATCTTTTTTCTTTTTTCTTTTGCTACATACTACATATAAGAAATCAATTCCAGTTTTGCTTATTCTTTTAGATTAACTTTTTAAAAAATTTTTAAAGAGAATACTACCAAACAAAATAAAACAGAATAAAGCTCATCAATAAAACTGGTACAAGACTTCAAAATAAGGTAATAGGAAATCAGTGATGGCTACTATATTGTCTCTTGTTATCTTCAAAACAGCTTATCATACCATCAGATATATTAAAATCAAACAAAGCAGAACAAAATAAAACTCATCAAAACAAAACAATGAGAGTGATACATAACTTCAAAATATAATAGGAAGTCAACAATGGCTACGATAATATATTTTATTATCTTCAAAATAACTGCCCATGCCATCAGATATAATAAAATCAAACAAAACAAAATGGAATTAAATGAAACCAAATCAAACAATGAAAATGACACAAGACTTTAAAACAAGATAATAGAGAATTAACAATGGCTACCACCTTCAGAAAAAAGCCCCATAGTTGTCTTGTGTGTTGTTATCCTGTAGAAGTTCAGACTATCTAGCTTTAGTTCTACAAAGTCAATCAAACAATACAGGCATTAAGTTATTTTTTTACTTTAGTGGCTGTCATCTCAGCCTGTGTTTCTCTGAATCAGCTGGTTGCTTACCAGTGGAGGTGAGGGTGGGGTGGGGGTGGTTAGCTTGTTCTTGGTTTTTTTCCTAGGATGCATGGTCACCCCAATTCACAGGATGGAATTGGCCCACCCCATGATTGCTGCTGGCTCACAGGAAGGGATTGGCTCAGCCCTTTAGGTTTACATTTAATTTTGTCTTTCAAGGATTCTTTTTTGTCATTTTCCAATGGAAAATTTAAAAAACTATTCAACTTTTTGTTTTCAATGATATGATTAGTTCATATTATGGGAAGGTGACATTCTTGTAATTTAACACTTTCCATTTTCCTCCATCCTATTTGAATTATTTATTAGGTCTTATAGGAAGTATTTTATGACCTTCTGAGGTCAGTTGTCAGTATATAGTTCTATGGTACTCCTTGCTTTCATATCACTTATCTGTATTTATATTGTTTCGTTGCCTTTCTCTCTTTTTTAGACCTTAATTTTTTTTGATGGCAATTTTTTTGATGCCCACCTTCTTGATTGTAACCCCAGGACCTGGCATAGTGCTTGGGACACACAGACACTTGCATTGTCATCTGGTCCCATTATTCCTTGCTTAGATTGCTACTACCATCCTCTCCTTGGATTTGTGCCTCCAGTCATATTCTTCAGTCTTCTACAGTAAAGCCAATTTGTTCCTTATATAGTAAAAAATTAGTTACTTTCATGAGGTACCACTGCTCCTCGTGTAAAATCTCAACAGCAGTGCAAAATAATGCCTTATGTGGCCTAGACTCTGGTTACTTTCTAACCTAATTTCTTTTTATTACTTACATTTTTAAGTTTAAGCCAGTCTGAATTACTTTAAATTTCCTGAAAATGCCTTGGTTGTTTTTTCTATAAATGTCTTACTTAACTTTCCTTGTTGCTGAGGCACAATACCCATCACCCACAAGTTTGTAGCAGTTTCAATCCATAGTCAGATGGCTCCACAGCAGGGTAGTGTGGCAGAGGAATCATAGAGGAGAAACAGTCCCTGGCAGAGCAAGCAGGAGGCAGGCAGAAAGCCTCTCTTGCCCATTTATCCTATCCTGTCTACCAGCCTTTTGGGCAGTACCACCCACACCCAGAATAATGCTAAACCAATCAGTGGACTAATTTAATTATCACATCTTTAATCCATATGCACATACCCTTAATCTGCATTCAGACACCATAGATCCAGCCACTTCTGAAAAGTTTTACCTGTGAGTGCGTAAGGCTTTGGGAGGACATCTAAGTATAAGCCATAACACTAAGGTTTTATGAGCATGTTGGGCCTAATTATACCCCCCCGGGGGGGGACACCCAAAAAACTTAGCTAATTTCTGCTCAACCTTAGATCTAAGACTACATGTATTACCTCTTCTGGGAAATCTTTAATACTTTAGTGTGAGAGAGGTTCACATTCTTTTTGGGAGATCTTAGTACTTTTTTTCTTCAAAGCATTTGTCAATTAATATTGTCTGTATTCCTTACTATAGCTTAAGCAAGAACTGAGTCAGGATTATTGGCTATTACCTCTTCTACATTAGATACAATTCTGAAATATGGTTAAATGTTCATTAAAAACATTGAATGAATAAATTTAGACATTCTTGCCTGAAAGTTAAATAATGATATGTCTTAATGTTTTGAATAACTTTTCAAGATTGTAGCTGGTTTCTGGATTTATTATTTATTAATTTTTTTGTGGTGGGCTTAGTTTAAACTTTAACCTCTGACAATGTTTTGTTCTAGTCTAAACTGCTTGAAAGAGAATTGAATCCTTACTGGAAGGATGGTGGGACAGGTCTTCCATCAGAAGACTGTGGTGTATCATCACTTACTAAAGGTAGTCCTGTATTTTGCTTGTAGACACATAGGTGTTTCTTGAAACTTGGTATTCCTAAGGGAATGACCTGATTTTACCATTGATAAAGTATTTCCAGTCTTTTTGTTATTTAAATCATTAATACTTGGGATCCAATTGATTAAATAGCTTTATACTTGTTTTAATAAAGTGCTGGGTGTGGTGACACATGACTGTAATCTCAGCATTTAGGAGACTGAGGCAGGGGACCATCTTGAGTTTAAGGCCAGCCTGAACTATATTGAATTCAGGCCCTTAACATCACCATTTTTTTTATTTTTATCTTTTTAGTTTTTATTTTGAGACAGTCTTGCTAAATTACTCTGCTGTCCAGGATAGACTTGAACTTGGGATTTTCCTCAGCCTCTCAGCATGAACCACCACACCTAGACTGAATTTCTGTTTCAAGTGAGTTAATTCAAAGTATGATTTTATGAAGATATAATAATGTAAAAATGCCTTTGCTTTGTAAAAAGTACTGTGTCTATGAAGTTCATGAAAATAATGTATCAACAAAGATATAGTTTCATATTTTCAGAAATTGCTACTTTGCCAGCATTCACAAAATTTGTATTGATCTTAGAATACTATTTTCAGCAGATGGAAGCAAAACAATACAGTGTCCCATAACCATACTTTATACCATGCTTTTAATAACAACTTACATGCCACTAAATTTTGTATTAACGACTCAGTGAAAAGTTTACTGAATTTTGATTAATCCTTTATACTATAAAGGTATTGTAAATTATGATGCTATTTTTTATTTTAGCGATTTATTAAGATATTTTCTAGCTCATTATTCATAATCTAACTTTGTTTTTTATACTGTTAAAATTTTTATGTTTTATATATACATGTCCTTAGAGCAATCTGATAGGCTATTTTATAATAATTTTACTGAAGTTATTACTAATTATTAGTTTACATTTTGAAGAAATTTTTCTCTGCTGGGTTAAATAATAGTAACTGTACTCAAGCAAGCTTCTCTTTGAAATATGGTCTCATAGACATTTAAGAGGGAGCAGTGAGGTAGCTCACACAGATTTTATGATCTATATTTTTCCTATTTCTAATGTCATGTTGGTCAATAAACTCATGTTTGGGAGGAACAGAATTGATAGACTCAGTCCTTGAGTGTTGGCAGGCAGTCAGCAGGTTCTTAAGATGGAAGACCTGGAGTTGGAATTATACTTCAGGTGGTGTCTCGTAGCTGGTGGAAGTAGCAGAATCAGACACTTGTAGGAAAGTACCCTTACATAAATAAAGCTTTTAGAATGGCTGTCTTCCCTTTCATACAGTTTCACTACTTCCCATACCTGTGTTACATTTATTTAGAAGGAGAGAAAATGACTGCTCTAACAGAGGCTTAGTTCCCAGAATTGAAATTAAGTTTTAAAAAACGACCTGTAGGTTTTATTGCATGTACAGCTAGTGTTATCATTCTGTTTAGACTGAAACAGGCACCTAAACGTCTTAAGAAAATGGAGTGACAATGTGGTTAGAATTTGCAGTCAGTCTGCTTTGGATTAGATTTTGGCATTTCTGCTTATGAAATATGTGATTTTGAGAGAGATCTGTGGTTTCAAGAAAGTTTCCTGACCTTCTGGAACCCAACCTATTTACCTGTGAAAAGTGATAATGATAGTCATAGTCTGTTTGTCCCTCCATCCATCTGTCCCCCCTCCTGTTTTTGTAGTACTGGGACTGAGCCCAGGGCCTTCACAGTGAGCTGTATCCTCCGCCCTTTTTAAGGTTTGGCACAAGGTCTTCCTAAATTCCTCAGACTGGGTTAAACTTTCAGTCTTCTTGCCTCAGCCTCAGGGATGATAGGCGTGCACCACCACACCTGGAAGTAGCTCTCTTACACAGTTATTGAGAAGGTTAAAGTAGAAAATGTTTTCACAGAGCATCCTGAATATAGTGAGTACTTAGTGATGAGAATGATGTCAACTTCTTTTTCTGTGATTTAATATTATGGAAGGGCTTTACCAAGAGTTTCTTGGTAATGTCTGGAGTACCATATTTTCAATAATTAGTTCATTAATCTTGAGTTTTTCCTTAGAGAAAACTAAGTAGAACAGCCATTTCCAGAGTGCATTCAAAATTGTTTAAAACTATATTTTAGTTACAGGTATATCTAATATCCTTTTGTATTCTTTTAAATTGGAATTTTCTTCAAGATAGTTTTATCATTTCTTTCTTCATTGTGAGAAAGTTTTATAGTTTGCATATTGTAGATGTTCAAATATTTAGAAGTTGATGTGTGCTTACATTTTTAGGTATTCAAATGGAATATATAATTTTATACATTGGAAGTAATAGAAAAAAATATTAATTTTATGATAAACATAGAAGAAGTAAGTTAACATTTCTTATTGTTATTTAGCCTCAGGAGTAGAGGATGGTGGATTAAGCTGGTTAAGAAAATCTTGCCAAAGAATGAGAGAACAAGCTGAAAAACAAAATAGAAAATTTGAGGACATTGTAGCTGAACGATATGGGGTAAGGACATATTATTTTCATAATTAGGTGAAAAACTAAATGGCATGAACTTTGTTTTATGCCATGAAACACTTTTGAATTGAACTGATAGTAAATCATTTATATTTATACTGATAATTCATTTTCTGCTTTTTTATGTAGCATATTTTTACTGACATAGTAATGTAAAACTTAAACATGTGTGTTAATATAAAAATAACAGGAGCTGGGCATATCTCAGTGGCACAAGTGCCTGCCTGGCAAGCACAAGGTCATGAGTTTGATCCCTGGTGCCAAAAGGAAAAAAAAAATACACACATATAAAACATTTTCGTATTTCAAGGAAATTTAAATAATGTGGGAGAGCCTCTTTAGTGTTCCTCTGGAAAATACCACTCCTTAAATTTTGGTATGTTCCGGAGTTTGGTGTATTGTAGAGTTCTGACATTTTCCAAAGCTTTGTTTTTTTAAGTGTGGCTATTCTCTTGAAAACAATGTAACCATGCAACAATATATGCTATTTTAGAACCAGCTTGCTTTCTTTCCTTTATAGGTAATGTTTCATCCATCCACCTTGATCTGTGTATGCACTCATATTTATGTATTCTTTTCACTCATACTGATTTTTTTTTTAAGAATGTTTTTATCTTTGAGTTTAGACATTCAGGAATTAGAGATTTTTTTATGTGTAACACCCGCTCTCCCAAAACTATTACAATATGTCTTTTTGCTCTAGAAAATCAGCTGGGGGAAATTTTCTTGTGCATCATCTTTATACTTTCTGAAAGTACTGGCACATGCAGATTGTAGTTTAGAATGAATTGTTCTTATATTTGTTTCTTATAATTTATATCTGTTTATCATCATTTCTTAAACTATAGAGAATCCCCAAGCTAATTTATTTTTTAACACTTTCTATTCTATTTTTTATATCTGGGCATTTTTTGTGGCATATAGTTTTCATTTCAAGTCTTTCACTACATTTGGGCCTTTCTCATTTTGAGATAGTGTTTTTTTATGAGAGTCTATTTGTTTTAGCATCATAGTAGCCTCTTGAATCTTACTACTAGGCAGAATTAATTTATTACAGTATTTAAAAAGTTAATGTTTCCATAGTATTCTGTATTATGCTCTGTGTTAATACAGAAAGGTTGGCTCAAGTGGCTGTACTTTTATAGCTCTTTTTGTTATTTGGTAATTTTTCATTGTTTGCTCATACTTTTTAGAATATGAGCCCACAATAAATGGAGGATGATTGTATGGGGTCATATCCCTCTTTCCCCTCTGTTTGGGTGAGTTTTTCTTTCTTTGTGCTACTTGACAGTGGGGTCATGGTACAGTGGTATGTGAGGCATATGTTGTTGAACATATTTTTATGACATAGTAATGTAAAACTTAAACATGTGTGTTAATATAAAAATAACAGAAGCTGGGCATATCATAATTTTTAGGTGTATTATTTTTCTCTTTTTGTAGTCAATGGAAATATTTCAACTGAAATTAGAAGAAGCTGAAAAAACTGCATCCAGAAATGAAGATTCTAGACAAGAATTGTGGAGGAAACCAACATATTCAGATAAAGTACAAAGGAGTCAAGAAACTAGGAAATTAGACTTGGTAAAATATAGTAAAAATTCAAGAGATAGGTATGATACAACAGAGATTACAAACAGTAGCAATAAGGATAAATTTAGTGATAATGAAAAAGGTAAGAGATATAGGTCTTTAGAATCACACAGAAAAGAATTCAGTCTAAGGCAAAATCAGGAGTTCACTTCTCCAGGAAATTTGAGACCTAAATTCTTAAAACCCTCCGATGATGAGGAAGTATCATCTCATAGCAAGGATAGAAATTTTGAACCATCTGATTTATCAACGTTAGTAGCTCAGGGTTCTTCACAGTGTGGTTTCCGAAAACCTATGGAAAATAGTGAAGAAAAATTAACACATTGGAGTCAGTCTGATGGTGGAGGAGACAAGAAGCATTCAAGTAAAAAACCATTGGAAACGAGTCGCAGCGTGGATTACCAACACGTTTCAGGAGATACGGAAGAAAAATTGCCAGTTAAGAGTGTGAAAAAACATGGTCAGGACACAGAATCTACAGTTCCTGGGTATTTTATTCTTTTTTACACTAATAAATCATTATTATGGCCATGAAGAGTCAAAGAATTGACCTGTGTTAGAATATATTAGATATGAATGAGTGTATTGTATTTCTGAAAATTCATAGATAAGATACATAGTTTTAACAATGTAATACAATAGTTTCACTTTATAAATTGCATTTTATTTTACAGTTTTTTTTTTAAACAGGAGCTAAAAGAATTCGTTAGCTATATTTACTCAAAATTTAGTGTTTTTTTACAATTTAAAAAGTGTAACCCAGGTGTGTGCCTGTGATCCCAGCACTCAGGAGGCTGAGGCAGGAGGATTGCTGCAAGTTCTGGGCTAACCTGGAGTGTACAATAAGTTTAAGGCCAGCCTGAACTGCACAGTGAGATCTTTAATGGAATTACTTTAATGTTAAATCATAAATACTGTATGTCCATAGGAAGTCTAGAAAACTAAAGAAAAACTTGGTATCATAGCCCAAATATGTAGTGACAAACATGTGCTGGAGATCCTGTGAAAGTAAATGTGAATTATGCAGTAGTTTTGTAGAGAAGAGAGAATCCACTCTGATAAGTTGATAGATTTCAAGTATGGTGTTAGTTTTACAAGTGAAATATTGGTGTGATGGTTGGTATAATGATGAGAAAAATAGATACTAATTACTCATTTTGTTATTGCTGTATCTGTTGTATTTATGTCAGGCTGAGTCAGAAGATGAGGAAATCCAGGTTGAGTGGAATCAACCCCAGGAAAATGTGATTTAGCTCTGTTGGAGATAGAAATAAAGAATCAAGTATCCAAAGAACAATGACAAGTTATACTTTATCATTAAAGTATATTTAAAATACTACCAAATGAGTGAGACACTATGGTAGTAAGTTTTAGGAAATGATAGAAATCAGTGGTAACAGTGGATATCAACATTGTGGCTGGGTTGGTATTTTTTTGCCAAATTGGTTTCCTTGATGACTCTGTCCAGAGCAGTGGTTTATAGGCACAGTGTGTAGTTTAAAAGAAGAGTGATCTGGCAAAGTCTGGACTGAGGCAGCTGCAGTCAAAGGAGCACTAACTTAGGTAAATGCTTGCTGTCTTGGAAACTGAAGGTGAAGTCCATTGTATTGTATGATCCAATGTGGCAGGCATTAGAGAACGTCTGTGGGGATGTGTATATATAATTGCTTAATCTCTAGGCTTTACCTCAGGGACCTTGGGTGGTGGACTACTTCTACTGATGCTGTTAATAGTAGGGTTGACTTCATTTGGGGAAAAGATAGATCTTGATTTCTGTGACTTCAGGGAAGCAGATTGTGGAAAATAATCTTACATTGTTTGTCGATGTCCGCTCCCGGCCGGCAGGAAGGACACACGACAAAGTCTGGTAGTGGACAACCTTTTTTTTTTATTTTCCTTCTCCGTACAGCCTGCCCTGGGTTCTCCCAGCTGAAGCCTCCTCTGGTCCGCTCCCCGCGGCTCCTTTTGTGCTTCAGTCTGCCCCAAAGCCTCTACCGGTCCGCTCTCCGCGGCTCCTTTTGGGCTTTTACTTCTGGGCTTCTACCTGGCTTCTTCTTCCGCCCAGGGGTGGCACCGGTATATATACGGGTACAGTGTCCAATCATGTTAAAGTAAGCAAGGCAAGCTGATTGGCTAACATCATCAGTTGCCAGGCAGACTATATTGTTGAGCGGGTTGTTTACGCGGTAAGCAGGAAACTAACATATTCGATGGGAGGGGTAATCTACCTCAGGCTTTGCTCTTTACCACAGGCCGCACGTCCGCCGTGCAAGGCGAGCTATCACAGACGCGGCTCCCAACATCTCCCCCTATTTTATTTTTTATGAATGTGCGCATCGTAGCCCTTCCTGGACTGGGTGCAGAGGCTTATGTCCTATGTGTAGGTCCACCGTAGGTCCTTGGCTTAGACCCTGGTTGGCCATGCCATGGTCTGCCAAGGCCCTGAGGCCCTCGTCCTTTTTCTAGGGCCAGGCACAAACTGGACGGAACCTGGATGCACACAAGCTTGCACTCATTTCCTCTCCGTAAAGAAATCCCCTCGGAGAGAAATTTAGACCTGGGCAGCATCTAACAGTCTAGCGGCTTACGTGCAGGATGGGGTAGGGCCTGGCTTAGGTCGAGTCGTGCTGGGGAGGCACGCTCTTACCCGTCATTGACTCACCTACCCTGCTGTGTATTGTCACCTTATGGAGGAGAATGAGGGATGCCCGCCATATCTAGACTCGGTCGTGGGCCAATTGAGCAAGCCATGCATATGCCTGAGGATCTTCTTGTCTATTTTGGGCTACCGCTATTTTTATTCATCTTATTGGTTGGTCTGTGATGGATCTCCAGTAGGGCAGGTCTGATCTTCAGTCGAGGGCTTTGTTGCCCGTGTCAGTCTCTCCGGTATCCACAGTGGTTCTCGTCCCGGTTCCTGTGGGAAAACACAAACCGCGCCTCGGTTCCAGCTGACCACTGGATCCGGGCCCATCCATTGTCCTGTCAGGACATCTTTCCACTTCACCCACCCTTTATGGTTGGGGGAAGGGTTGTAGTGCTCCACAGCTGGGGAGCGATTATCATTATTTAAATTTAAAAAATTGTGTGTGAATAGTGCCATGGATAATCGTGCCTTTGGGGCCAGGCCTTGGCCTACTCCCCCTTTTTGTTTTTGTAAAATTTTTTTGAGGCTTTTATGAGCCCTCTCAATGATTTTTTGACCTTGGGGATTGTATGGGATACCATGTTTTAATTGAACCTCCATCATTTTGCAGAACTCATTGAAGGCTTTGCCTATATAGGCTGGTCCATTATCAGTTTTTAATATTTTTGGTTTGCCCCATGCGGCCCAAGCTGCCAGGCAATGATTGATCACATTAGACACTTTTTTACCTGTTTCTGCTGTTGCGAATATGACGTGAGAACAGGTGTCTGTGGAAACATGAACATATTTAAGAGTCCCAAACTCCTGTATATGTGTGATGTCCATCTGCCAAACATCACCAGGGATCAAACCTCGAGGGTTTACTCCCATCGGTATGGCAGGTTTGTATGTGGCACAGGAGTCACATAGTCGCACGATATCTCGTGCATCTGCTCTAGAAACATGGAAATGGTTTGCTAGTGTCCTGGCATTAACATGAAATTTATCATGGAAGGCACGGGCTCGCTCGATTGGTGTTAGTAAGGTAAAAATCCATAACGGGCGAGTGGCAGTGTCAGCAGCCGCATTCCCCTGTGCCATGGGCCCCGGCAGGGATGTATGTGCTCTTATGTGGGTGGTGAAGACCTTATGGTGTCTGTTCTGAAGCAATGTCTGGATAGACAGGAACAGTCCAGCCACTGTGGAAGTGGATCTAATTAAACTGGCAGTCTCAAGCACTTGCATAGCATTGACCACATACCTAGAATCGGAGACAATGTTAATGGCTTCTGAGAACCGTTTAAGAATCATTTTAACGATCTGCAGTTTTACCACCTGAGGCTGATCTGGTTTAAATTGTATGGTAACCGGGGGCTTGCCTAGGATCACATAGGCGCCTATCCCCGTCTTGGAGCCATCTGTGTATATTGTAGTTGCTGGGACTAATGGCTCAGAGGCAGTAACCTTTGGAAAAATTATAGGGTGCTGAGTGACAAATGACAAGATAGGGTCTTTAGGGTATTGATTGTTTATATCCCCATGGAAAACACATCTCAGAATGGCCCAGGTATCTATGCAGGCAGCCAGGGTCTTGATCTGGCTGGCGGTATAGGGTACTCGGATGGCTTGTGGTCCTGAGCCAAAATGTTGGACAGCTCTATTATGCGCTTTAAGGGCCAATGAAGCGACTGCCTCCGGGTAATGCTCTATGACTTTTGCAGGTGAGACCTTAGGGTGTATCCACAGTAGTGGTCCTTTCTGCCAAATCACCGCTGTAGGCTGTAGACTAGTCTGTAGCAAACAGACATCAAAGGGTCGCCCTGGTTTAATTCTGTGTAAGGTAGCCCCACCTAAGGCTTTTTTTACTCTCTGTAAGGCAGCTCTTGCCTCAGGAGTGAGCCTCCTGTGGGAGGCTATATCTGGGTCTCCCTTCAGAAGGTCGAACAGGGGTTTGAGATCTGAATTTGGTATATGTAAATATGGCCTAATCCAATTAATGTCTCCCAATAGCTTTTGCATGTCATTTAGGGTCCTAACGCCATCCATCCTAATGGTGACCTTCTGCGGAGAGACTAGCATAGGGGAGATTCTCGCGCCTAAGTAGGTCACCATTTCTCCTCCCTGAATCTTGTCGGGGGCAACATGCAGATTAGCTTGTCTCAGGGCCTCGACCAACTGGCTGAGCATATTATTTAGCATGTCTGGGTCCCTGCCGCTGAGCAAAAGGTCGTCTATGTAATGCATACATCTTATCTTGGGAAAGGATTTTCGTAGGGGGGCCAGTAGGGAATCAAGGTAAATCTGACACATAGTGGGACTGTTGGCCATACCTTGGGGCAACGTTACCCACTCGTATCTGAGATCAGGGCTTTCTTGGTTAATGGTGGGCAAAGTAAAGGCGAACCTATGAGTGTCCTCTGGGTGCAGGGGAATTGAGAAGAAACAGTCTCTAAGGTCTATAACATAAACTGGCCAGGACTGAGGGATGGCTGAGAGAGCTGGCAGCCCCCTCTGGACCGCCCCCAGGGGCTGCATCTGCGCGTTGACCGCCCTTAGATCATGGAGCAGCCTCCACTTGCCAGACTTTTTCTTAATTATAAAAATGGGGGTGTTCCATGGGGAGGTTGACGGCTTAATATGTCCTAATCTAAGTTGTGTACTGACTATTTCTGACAAGGCTAATAGCTTCTCCTTAGGCAGGGGCCACTGAGGTACCCAAACCGGATCATTTGATTTCCAGGTGATTTTGATCGAAGTGGGTAGGAGAGCTTCTTCAGCGGCCCCTAAGAAAAACCCAATCCTTGCCTACCTTTTTTGTTTTCTATTGGTATTGGGGATGTCCGACCCTGCAGGGCATTGCCC